ATCTAGTTTCAAATTTCTGAGAAATTTCCATATTGTCTTCCATAATGGTTATACTAGTTTATATTCCCACCAGTAGTGTATAAGCATACCATTTTCTCTACATCCTTGCCAGCATTTGTTATTTTTTATTTTTGGATGATAGCCATTCTAACTGGGGTAAGGTAAAAACCTGTGGTGTTTATTTACATTTCTCTAATGGCTAGTGAGCCTGATCATTTTTATTTGTCTGTTGGACATTTGTATTTCATCCTTAGTAAAATGTCTGTTCATGTCCTTTGCTCATTTCTTAATGAGAATCATTGTTCTGTTGTTGAGTTTCTTGAGCTCTTTATATATCCTGGGTATTAATCCTTTATCAGATGCATAGTTGGCAAATATTTTCTTGCATTTTATTGGTTGTCTCTTTACTTTGTCGAGTGATTCCTTTGCTGTGCATAACCTTCTTAGCTTGATCTAATTTTGCTTGTCTTTTAGTTTCATTGCCTTGCTTCTAGGATCTTATCCAAGAAGTCTTTGCCTATGCCAATGTCTTGCAGTGTTATATTTATGTTTTCCTCTAATCATTTGATGGTTTCAGGTCTTAGGTGTAGCTCCTTGATCCATTGTGAGTTTATTTTTGTACAGTGTGTAAAGTAGGGGTTTTGTGTTATGCTTCTGCATATGGAGGTCCAATTTTCCCAACACCATCTGTTGAAGAGACTCTCCTTTCTCCAGGGAATGATTTTAGCTCATTTGTCAAAGATTAATTTATTGTAGGCACATGGATTAGTTTCTCAGGTTTTTTTCTGTTCTATTGGTCCCATGTAAATGAACTAAATACTCCAATTAAAAGATACAGACTGACTGAATAACTGAAAAAACATGACCCATTATATGCTGCCTATAAGAAACACATCTTGCCAACAAAGATGTACACAGATCGAAAGTTAAAAGCATAGAAAAAGATATTCCATGCAAATGGAAATAAAGAATAAGCAAGAGTAGCTAATTTAATATCAGGCAAAATAGACTTTAATAAAAACAAACTGTTAAGAGAGGCAAGATCATTATGTAATGATTAAAGGACCAATTCAGCAGGAAGATGTGATTATAATAAATGTGTATGCACCAATGCTAGGGCACCTAGCTATTTAAAACAAATGTTAATTGAGCTAAAGTGAGACATATGCTCCAATACAGTAATAATGGGAGAGATAAACTCCACTTTCATCAATATACAGTTCAACTGGAACAAAAAGCAACAAAGAAACAGCAAAACTAATTTGCATTATTGACCAAATGAATCTAATCAATATCTACAGAACATTTCATACCACAGCCACAGAATATACACATTGTTTTCACCAGTGCATAGAACATTCTCTAGGATAGACCATATGCTGGGACATAAAACAAGTCTCAACAAATTGGAAAAAAATTGAAATGATACCATGTATCTTTTCTTTTTTTCAAAAAAGGCTTATGTATTTATATATTTGAAAGGCAGAGTTACAGAGAGGGCAAGGCAGAGGCAGAGGGGGAGAGAGAGAGGTCTTCCATCCACTGATTCACTGTCCAAATGGCTACAATGACCAGGGCTGGGCCAGGCTGAAGCTAGGAGCCAGGAGCTTCATCTGGGTCTCTCACATGGGTGCAGGGGCCCAAGGACTTCAGCCATCTTCTGCTGTTTTCCAAGGCACATCAGCAGGAAGCTGGATAGGAAGTGAGGCAGCAAGAATTCAAACTGATGCCCATATGGGATGCCAGCATTGCAAACTCAACCCGCTGTTCCACAGCATCCACCCCACCATGTATCTTTTTTGACTACAATAGAATGAAGCTGGAAATTAAGAATATAAGAAAATCTAGAAAATTTACAAATACATGGAAGCTAAACAGCATGCTCCTGACTGAACAGTGGGTCGCAGAAGAAATCAAAAAGTTCCTTGAAACAAATGAAGATGATAACACATCACAACTTATGGAATACAGGGAAAGTAGTGGTAAGAGGGAAGTTTATTGCAATTAGTGTCTACATCAAGAAATTGAAAAGGTTTCAAATAAATTATCTAACTGTGTATCTTTAGGATCTAGAAAAACAAGAACAGATCAGACCCTAAATTAGTAGAAGAAAATAAGTAATAAAATTAGAGAAGAAATAAACAAAATTTAAATTGAAAAAAATCACATAAAAATTCAGTGAAATGCTGTGACAAAAATTGACCTACATGAAAGATCTCTGCGAGTAAGATTCTGGTGGAAAGAAGGGGCCATCAAAGGAGATACCTTTTTCTGAAGGGAGGAGAGAACTGCCACTTTGACTGTGACCTTGTCTAAATAATGTCGGAGTTTGTGGACTCAAGAGGCTTCTATAGCCTTGGCAGCTCATAACAAGAGCCTCAGGTGATTATTGACATCATAAATAAGAGTGTCAATTGGTAAATCAACAACAGGAGTCAACTGTGCACTTACTCCCCTTGTAGGACCTCTGTCTTTAATGAGTTGTTCTATGAGAATTAACTGTAAAACTAGTCATCAAACATTACTTTATACTTTGTGTGTCTTTGTGGGTGCAAACTGTTGAAATCTTTCCTTAGTATAGAGTTGATCTTTTGTATATAAAGATAATTAAAAATGAATCTTAATGAAGAATGGAATGGGAGAGGGAGTAGGAGATGGGACGGTTTGGGGGTGGGAGGGTGGGTATGGGGGAAAGAACCGCTATAATCCAAAAGTTGCACCTATGAAATTTATATTTATTAATTGAAAGCTTTCTATAAAAAAATAAAAAATCATTGAAATGAAGAGCTGTTTTTTAAAAAAATAAACAAAATTGATAAACCGTTTTCCCCACTAACCAATAAAAAGACCCAAATTAATAAAATCAGAAATAAAAAAAAGTAACAAGTGATGTCTTAGAAATAGAATCATCAGGAATTGTTAGACAGCTATATTACAACAAATTCATAAATCTAGAAAAAAATGAATAGGTTTGTGGACTCATACAATTTACCAAAATTAAGGCATGAAGACATAGAAAATGTAAATAGACCAATAACTAGTACAGAATCAGGGCAGTTACAATCAAAACAACCTGGTGTAAAACATTTAAATTGCAGACAGCAGCTGGTGTTGTGGCATAGCTGGTAAAGCCACCACCTGCAGTGCCAGCGCCCATACACCAGCATCCCATATGGGCCCCAGGGAGTCCCGGTTGCTTTACTTCTAATCCAGCTCCC